GCTAGAGTGAAGAATCAGCAGGTGGTTTGGGTCGGTTTGTGCTAGACTGGTGGAAGGCCACGATGGTCAGTACATTCAGTGCTGGTTATGCATAAAGCAATTATTTCAAATGATTTCCTGCAGAAGAGAGGCTTTGCATTAGCTTCTAGATGTTATTTGTGCTATAAAGAGGCTGAATCTTTGGATCATCTGTTCTGTGGCTGTGTGTATACATGGAAGGTGTGGAATTTTTTGTTAGAGGTGTGTTCATGGAATTTGCAAAGGGTATTTGGCTTGCAAGAAATCACAGATCAATTTAATCATCAGTTTTACAGGAAGGGTGATAAGAAAATGGCCAGAGTTTGTTTTTCAGCTACTCTATATTTTTTTTGGTGGGAGAGGAATAATAGATTACATGATAAGAGTGTTAGAGAGGCTAAGGATTTAGCTAAGTGTATTATTTGGGAGGTGCTAGATGTCTTGGGGATTAATCTTCAAGACATTTTGTAATGCTTTTTTTTATTTTTTTTTATGAGTGTCCTTGTGTAGGACTTTTTGTTTAGTGAGGGTCTGCCTTCACTTGAATCCTTGTACTATATTGTTTTATTTGAATATACTCCTTCATTCAGGGAAAAAAAAAAAAGTAAGAGTTTCCTGCATTTCATACTTAGAGCTGAGTATTCATTCTTATCTTGTGTTACAGCTTAAGTATTCTATATTTGGTGTCTTGACACCTTTATTCATTGTTGATTAAGCTATTGAGAGCTTTGTGTGTCCAAGCATAGACTGGGGGAGTGCCTGTGTGCACATTGTTTGATCTTTTGTGTGTGTAGAAGCTGTGAAAGTCAGTGTCCTAGTGAGTACAAGGTGGTTGGAAAGTGGGGCAGCTGAGTGAGTAACTACTTGCATGCAGCAAGTGAAGATGGTGAGCTAATGAGTGTGAATTGGTTGTGAAAGTTAGTATCTATTCTTGTACAAGGGTGTGTGCAGTGAGTGAGATAGCTGAGTGTGTAATAAGATTCATACTACTAGTGGAGGCATTTATTGGCTGAGGCCAAGAACCAAGGTTTTTTCCTATTGATAGGGTTTCCTTGTATATCTTGTGTCCATGTAATTTGACTGTTTGCATTGGTTTTATCTTCTTTGTTATGCATGTTTATACTCAAGTGAAAAAGAGAATAAAGTACCTAGGACCAATTCAACCCCCCCTTCTTAGTCCAACAGTTACATACAAGTGGAAAATCATGGGATACGTGGTAGCCAAGGAAGCATGTAGTTACATGCAAAGGGAAAGTTACGGGACACGTGGCAGCCAAGGAAGCAAACGGTTACATGCAAGTGGAAAGTCATTGCACACGTGGCAGGCCAAGAGGTAACCAATTCGAAGACATGACTTCCAAGTGGGACACGTGGTAGAATTTCGAATCAAAGAGGGGTTATTCTAATAGAATGTGCAAGATTTTAGTGGAATGTCATGCGAATAAGTAGTAGAAATAGCAAAATGTGGACTAGAACGTGGCTACAAGTTGAGCGCACAACCTGGGAATATGGGACACGTGGAGGATTTCCGTTGGAAGAGCGATTATTCCGGGCTAATGGAAAGTCATGCTAAAAATGACAAAGTAGGAAAACATGGTCTTACACATGTAAGCAGTATGAAGGTTGAAGAATGCAGTAAGACATGTCATAAATCCAACCAATCCACTTTGAGGCATCTAAAGTTGGCAATGAAACTGCCCATGCTAACTACCATTACCAAATTCTGTAAATAAGGCATGTTATTGTTACTTAAGGGGACTCTTCAACACACACACAACTACAACACTTCATTTTTCTTTCAATTCCTGCAATTGTACTTCATTCTATATTTCAATTCATGTAATGTACTTCAATTATCTTCATTAATGCAAGTTATCTTTCAGTACTTTACTTTCCAAGTCATGCACCTTTAATTCAATATGACTTTCAGTCCAACACTTCAAGTTCTTTCATTTCTAGCCATAAGAAAATCTCGACGTCCTTTGTCACTAAAGGCAAAAAAGAACATTTGGAGGTGGTCATTCCAGGCCTCATTTCAGTCGTCTGATCAATTCCACTTCCTTCTAGAATATAGTTTGGATCCTCACTTGGAACTTCCTGAGTTCCTGGCATATCCACACTTCCACCAGACCTACAAAAGAAATTTTTTACAGGCCAAATAAAAACACATAAAATGACACACCCTAACCCAATATAGACCATTTAACAAATTGAATAATTGGAATGTATCTAACTATCTGCATTAACCCCATACATACGAGACGTCATTATACATCAGAGTTGCCTGCTTAATAATTTACAATTAAAAACAAACTATAGGTGTCCATTATGCAAGTTTCGACAAAACTAAACCGTTAATTACAAGTTATACTATTAAATTCTACTACAATATTTACATCTTATACAAAAGACGTTCCATTGTTCTTTTCCCCATACACACTCAAGACTCTAGACCTGGCAGTAGCAATCTACCCTTGTACCTGAAAAATTATAGATATGGAAAGAGTGAGCTTAAAGCCCAGTAAATGCAACACTACTACATTAGAGTAATATAAATAAATATTATCTGATAACTTCAATTAAACTTCATTAACATATAGCTTCCAGCTTTACATGCATTAAAATATAGAACTCTCCTTCTAGGCCAGAATATGGACCTTCTATGATATAGTACTCTCCTTGAAGGCCAGAGTATGGACCTTATATGATACAGTACTCTCCTTCCAGATCAGAGTATGAACCTTGTATAATATATTACTTTCCTTCCATGCCAGATTATAGAGCTCATATAATATATTCATATTGTATCAATATCCTCATTTCATATAAACAATCTCAATACTTCAATAACACACTCAAGTGTAAAACTTCGGGTGAGTACACTAACCTTGGCTACTTTCAAATTATTTATTTCTCCTTCAATACTATGGACGTGGTCGTTTCTTTCTCCTTGCCTGAACAATAATATAATCACATCATATTTATTTTATAAAGAGAATAAAATCACAATCATCACTTCCATTATAAATCTCAAACTTTATACATAATTATAGCTAAAATTTTAATCACATCCCTTTATATCAGTTTTCAGCCTGACAATCCCCATCAAACATCCATGGTATTACTTCAAACAAAACAGCTCTTGAATCAAGTACAACCACAAAACAGCCCTCGAATAAAATACAAACATAAAACAACCCTTGATTCAAATACAAAATAATAAGTAGATGATATATATCTGGAAGAGTTAATTGGATTACTCATTAATAAAAAATTAAATAATAACTTTCAACATAGAATTAATAATTGAAAATCCCTCACCTGTATTTAATTCCAGCAAGAACAGTAATAAAACTCGTCTCCCTTTCCCTTCCTTTATCCCCTTCTCCCTCTATCGCTCTTCTTCTTCTATATATGGCCGAACACCCTCTGTTCTTTTTCTTTTCTAATATTAAGTAACTTGCTCGAGGCGGTTTCTCAAAGTTTCTTCAGGAAGCTTTTTGGCTAAAATTATATACATATTTATATACCGACGTGTCTTGTAGAGGAACAAATGTGCTGGCAGCTAGTTAGACACATATCTATCTACTTATATCATACTATTATATGTCTAAATAGTCGGACACCAACCCACCAAGCTTTTAAGGAAAAACTTGGAACAAAATATACTTTCACATGCATATGAAAGTCTCCAGCATATATAAACAAATAAATAAATATATATATATATATATATGCATCCAACACACCAATACTTATCCTCACACACCCACGTTCACCTGTGCACCATTATTTTTTCTTTTCTATGTATAACATATTAAATGTGGCCATTATTAATGATTCATTTCCTGACCCTTTTTCCTTTAAGCACATTAGTTATTATATTCATACTAAAAAGTCAAAGTCCACAAAACATGGCACATAAAATCACTAATCAACTCCACATTTGCTTCATCAAATTGATAAATTATAGATCAATTTATCAATCAATTTAATTTATTGGACAAATCAACCTCTAAAATTTTTTTCACTTAATTATTGCTATTTATTTACCAAACTTTGACGCAACAAGAGCCTCACCACATATCCTTATATATATCAAGTGCTCATATGAAATGTTTATATGAAAATTATGATGAAATAAAAATTCACAAATAAAAGGAAAGGGTAAGCAAAAACACCAATGAATTTAAAAATAATAATTAGAACAAATATTTTCTAATGGCACTAGAACCATAATTAGTGATGCTATCAAAGAAGATATAACATGCTAATGCTAACCCATCCTCATCTTTACTTCTGCAGAAAAGGTTAAATACTAATGATACTTAGAAGTAATGGCCTAAGAAATGACACAACAATTAAATGGGTATCTTTTACACCCCTTGATGAGTGATGAGTGTAGAAAATCAGTTGAACAATGGCTTTCCATTGTCAACAATTGCTTTCTGTCAATTATATTTTCAAGGTACACAAGTTAATGGGTGTAGCGTCAATTTCATATTTTTTTTCATTTTTAACAGGGGTGGGAACTAGGAGGGGGAGGTTCCTGAGTTTTAAAGTTCCACAAAACAAGGTATCTCTACCTTTAAGTGAAGAACTATCTAGTTCCCAACAAAAACCCCCCAAAGGTTTTTAAACTAAGGTGAATGCAATTAATGCATGAGTAGCTTATTATCTCCGTCCCTTATTAGTTGTTCATTTTTTGTTTTATAACTTTTTAAGAAGGGATATGCAATTAATGCATTGTTTCCTTTTAAAATTATCAAATTGTTCTTTTTAATTTAAATATATATATTTATAAAGTTTAAAATTTTTTAAAAAGATAAAGTGCAATAATGAAAATATAAAGAATAAATACTTTAATTTTTTTTAAAAGGGATAATTAATTTGGAACTACTTAAATAAGGGAGTATATTTAACATCAATTAACGTAACAAAATTATACGCGTTTGAGTGTATATATTTGACTACGCAGAGGGGGATTATCGAGGAATAGACCGAGAGATAAAGGATGGTCTCACCTCTTATTTAGATCCGGTGCCACAAAGCAGCGATAGTGGCATCGACCATGCCAACATCAATTGGCTTACTCAGTCCCTGAGTTTTTCGCTGACATGATTGAAAAGTAGGCTTCAGTTTCCTTTCAGAATGGAATTCGAACAGCGGTATTCTTCCTTTCTGATAAAAAAAACAAAGCCCTAATTTTGTGTTCTTTCAACCACAAATTATGGATTGATTGGTAAAAAGGGTCGAAACAGATGAATCAATTTTTGGAAAAAAAATCATCCGTTTCTCTGCAACATATCACATGGGCTCTTTCACCATCATCAGCACTACTCTACATCTCCTACTTTTGTCCTCCACAGTCTATTGTGGACCATTGTTTCATGAATTCATCTACCCAAATTTCACCCACTCCGAATTCATCTACAACTACAACACCCACTCCGGAGCTTTCTTGGCCTCTCGCAACGGAACCTTCATGGCAACCATCACCAGCCCAAACCCACTAGGCAGAGCCTTCTACTTGTGTGTCATCCACGCTCCTTCCAACACCATCGTCTGGTCCGCCAATCGCAACGCTTCAATCTCTGATTCTGCCAAGCTACGTCTCACCGCCAACGGTCTCACCGTCACCGACGACGCAGGCAACGTGGTTTGGTCCACCGCGCCATTTCACGTCCCTGATGTTTCCTTGTTACAGCTTCAAGATTCCGGCAATTTAGTCCTGCTCGATCGCTCCAATGCTACTTTGTGGGCAAGTTTCGATCATCCCACCGACACCATTGTTATTGGACAGAAGTTACCCATTGGTGAATCACTGGTTGGTGCTGCGTCGGAGGACAACTTCACTGCCGGTGATTATCGGCTTACGGTCACCGGCGGCGACGCCTTTTTGCAGTGGAATGGGTTGACTTATTGGAAGCTGTCTATGGAAACATGGGCTTTCAAGGATACAAATTTTCCAGTTTCCTACATGGGCTTGAAATCGAACAATGGTACTACAATTACAAATGGTCTCTATCTATTTGGGGACAATGGGTCAACAGTTGTGATTCGGATGGACTTGGCGGAGTCTGATTCTTTTAGAATTGCAAAGTTGGGATCTGATGGTCAATTCGTTGTTCAGAGATTTGTGAGCACGGAAAACAAATGGGTTCAAGAATTTACAGGTCCTGGTGACATTTGTCGAATTCCAATCGTTTGTGGCAAAATGGGACTTTGCTCGAACGGAATATGTGGGTGCCCTACCAGATTTCAAGGATCTACTCAGATGGACAGAAGAAGTGGAGTTTGCAGACCCTCCAACAGTTCTTATTCCTTGCCGTCAGCTTGTGATGATAGTCAATTGAATTCTTCGTCCATTTCGTATGTGGAACTGGACAAAGATATCGACTATTTTGCGATTGATTTTATGGAGCCTGTCAAACACGGTGCTAATATGTCTGTTTGTCAAGATCTTTGTTCTCAAAATTGTTCTTGCTTAGGATTTTTCCAAGAAAAATCCTCTGGGTCTTGTTATCTACTCGAAAACCAATTGGGTTCCATGACGAACTCTTCTTCAGCTGTAAATGATCGATTGGGCTACATAAAGGCTCTGGTTGTATCTTCCTCTGCCAACCCATATGGTGAAAAGGATAAAAAGGGAAATTTTCCAATTGTGGGTTTGGTACTATTGCCTTCCTCTGGGTTCTTATTATTAGTCGTAGGAATTCTTTGGTACACAAGAAAAAAAAGGCTTTCTAGAAATGTCATAGTAAAATTAGGCAGCAGAAACTCGTTCTTGTCCGGAGAGCTTGAAACAGTCTCTATCGAGGGTTTTCCGGTGAGGTTTGATTACGAAGAGCTTGCCGCTGCAACTGAGAAATTCAGCACCCAAATTGGTTCCGGCGGATTTGGTACAGTGTACAAAGGCACTCTTCTAGATAAAAGCGTGGTGGCAGTGAAGAAGATTACTAACTTGGGTGTGCAAGGAAAGACGGAATTTTGTGCCGAGATTTCTATTATTGGGAATGTTCACCATGCCAATTTGGTTAGACTAAAAGGTTTCTGTGCACACAAGAGGCAAATGTTTCTTGTCTTTGAGTACATGAATCGCGGTTCATTGGATCGTTCCCTCTTTGGTAATGGAGCTGTTTTAGAATGGCAGGAGAGATTCCAGATAGCACTTGGAACAGCTCGTGGGCTTGCTTATTTGCACAGTGAGTGTGAACACAAGATCATCCACTGTGATGTCAAGCCAGAGAACATTCTCTTGCACGACAATTCACAAGTGAAGATTTCAGATTTTGGGCTTTCAAAGCTGCTCAGTCCTGAACAATCTAAATTATTTACAACTTTGAGAGGAACTCGAGGCTACCTAGCGCCAGAGTGGCTGACAAGTTCTGCCATCTCCGACAAGACAGATGTGTATAGCTACGGAATGGTATTGCTAGAGATAGTGAGGGGACGGAAGAACTGGACGTTACAGATAGTGAGGCAAAGCACAGAAAACGATAGTAATGGTGGTCCATCTTCTTCTTCGTCTGTCTTGGAACATCGGCCTGTTTATTTCCCCCTGTTTGCATTGGAAATGCACGAGCAGAAGAGGTATTTGGAGCTTGCTGACCCGAGGCTTGTGGGACAGGTCACGGGTGAGGAATTGGAGAAGGTGGTGCGTGTTGCTCTGTGTTGTGTGCATGCAGAGCCATTGCTGAGGCCGACCATGGATAAGGTTGTGCGCATGTTGAAAGGTACACTACCATTGAGTGAACCGCGGGTTGAGTCGCTCAACTATCTACGGTTCTATGGCCGGCGATTCACGGATGGGCCCGATGGGATGCCACAAGTAAATGTGAGTTCTAACAACACCACCGGTGACCAACCTAATGCCTACTCTTACTTGTCTTCCCAGCAACTCTCCGATCCGCGGTAGAGCTCAAAGCTCATTGCCGGTGTGGATCTTTTGTTTTATGTAGAGAAATCCACCAATGTGGGGATGGTGATACGAATTTAATTTAAGAATAATGATTAGAATCCGAAGGTTTCTACGAATGCGTGGCCCAGCCACTCAACTTCTTAAGGGCACGAATCACCTGCGGTGAGATTTATATTTGGTCACATCATTATTTAGTTAACGGACACTAAGGCCGTGTTTAGCCAATTACATCATTATTTATAAGTAATATTTCACTACCATTTATAAATAATATCACATATTCTAAAAAGTAATGTCACTTATAATTATAACTCAATTCAACATATTATTTATATTATTATTTGAAATTAAAAGTGGTAATGTTTCATTTTACAAATGGTGATGCTACTTTTTAGACTATGTGATGTTATTTGTAAATGGTGGTAAAATATAAAAATAGTTTAAAAAGTAACATCACCACCATTTATAAGTAACATCACAAAAGTTTAAAAGTAATATCATATGGTCTAAAAAATACACAAAAGTCTAAAAGTAATATCACATAGTCTAAAAAGTAACATGACCATGTTTTGAGGGTGAAAGATATTTATAAATGGTGGTGATGTTACTTATTAGACTATGTGATATTACTTTTAGACTTCTGTGACGTTACTTAAAAATGGTGGTGAAATATTACTTATAAATAGTGGTGCAATTGCCAAACACAGTGTTAGTGTCTATTAAGTGGAGTAAAACATGGCCAAACCAAGGCCACTTACTGCTCACTGTAGGAAATAGTATGGCAATTGCACAGCAGATGATTTGTGCTCGCTTCTTAAACATTGCTCTTATTTTCTCTCTTCGAGTTCGCCCCTTTGTCTTCGTTTTCTCTCTTCTTCTTTCTTCTGATCTCTATCTCTATTTTTTATTTCACAAAATTGAAGAGAAAAACAGAACATTAAAAGTTTCCGTTGCCTCTTAAAATCAAGGGTTTAATCGATGGATGATAACTCTTTCATTTGGTCCAAAATAGAATTGATGATGATCAAGGCTTCATTTTCAACCAAATTAAGGATGGAACAATCTGTATGATATTTAATTTCTTTCGGTCTCTAGGACCCTTTGCAATTTAAGTTTGGACTCTTGTATGACAGAACTGAAATATAATTTTTTGTGTGCATCTTTTGGATTACATGTTTGCCAATAAAATTCGCACAAAAAGAAAAGAAAAGAAAAGAAAAAAATGGCTGCAATTGTTTCTCTCCTTCACATCTTTGAGAAGATTCACCTGTTTCCCTTGATTATTATTCTGTAAAAGATCACTGTGCAACTCTCTGCACATTTTTCCATTGGAAATATCTCTTGTTGGAAAGATACATACGGTAGTGAATCAAAATTCTAGATGCCCGAGGATAAGAAGTTATTTATATTGGTTGAAGGAATAAATGCTAGATGAGTTTTAGATCTTCTACGTGGAATGCTTTGGATTGATGTAATCCAAATGCTTTGAATATTTCTATTAGTCTCATTTTAAAGGTTTCTTTTAGGGCTCGTTTGGATTGAGGGATTTAGAGGGATTTGGAAAGAAAAGAAAGGGAAGGATAGGGATAGGTGTGTTTGGATGGAGGGAATAGAAGAGAAAAGAAAGGATTGGGAAGGATTTGGAGGGATAGCCTCTCCCTCCAAATCCATTCAATACAGTAAAACCAAATCCCTCCAAAATTGACAAGATTTGGAGGGATTTGGAGAGAAATGGAGCAAATTACATAAGGGGCAAGAAAGTTAAGAGACAGCCGGATATGGGTTTTGATTACAGTTACAGAGAGAAAGAAAGGGAGGCTGAGAACGAGATGGAGGCTATTGGGGAGGCTGATATATATATATATATATATATATATATATATATATATATATATATATATATATATATATGTATGTAATTTGAATTACAATAATATAGGACAAACATTTAAATTACAATAATATATGAATGGTTCAATTGGAAGCATAAATTAGTAACGTCAAGTTTAGATCTCAAGAATGGAGAGAGAAATTGAAGGACAAAAGGAGATGAGGAGGGAGGGGACGAACCTGCATAGCTGTTGGTGACATCGACAATGCCTTTAAAGGAACTGCTGAGGAGGACCCCGATGACACGCTTTTGAGTGTCTCTGGCCACTCTGTTGTAGTTGTCGATGATGCTGAGCAGAACCAGAGGATGAACTATCACCTTCTAGATCGGCCTCGCCGATATTTGCTGCGATTTTATTACGTCCATTGCTGCTGATTTATTGATTCGAATCAATTTGTTGTCTTCTCTGCAAAACCCATACGAGAGTAGAGAGACTGAAATATATATATATATATATATATATATATATATATATATATATATATTTCAACCTCCCCAAACTACATATATATATATTTATATATATATATAGATATATATATATATATTTCAGCCTCCCCAAACTATATATATATATATAGTTTGGTTTTGATTTTTGGAACAATCTGAAATGATATGCGGAGATATGGGTTTTGATGTTTCGATTCTTGTAGATTTTGTAGTTTCCAATTGGAGAAAGAGAGAGATAGATAGAACGATGGAGGCAATTGGAGGTTGAAATGATAAAATAGAGTAAAATGGTAATTTCATTATTATCCTTTCCCGTCTTTTCTTTCATTTGTGTTATCCAAACAACAATATTGCCAATTACTTTCTTTTTTCTCCTGTCTATCCAAACATAAATATAAACTATAGCTATCATTTCCTTTCTTTTCTTTTCTTTTATTTTCTCTTATAATCCTTTCCTTTCTTTTCTCTCCTATGTATCCAAACGAAGCCTTAAAGATTTTTTCTGATGGTATGAATTCTGTTGCTAATTAGTATGTAGATATTTGACCATCATAATCTGAGAGAGAGAATAGTTAAGAAAATTTGATGAATGTTAGAGCATCTCAAGCGGTATATTAAAATACTCTTTTATGTAAAATATACACTGTCACTTATGATGTGTAAATTTTTTCTATCTCCAGCAGTCTGTTAAGATATATTGTCACATCACTAATGTATAAAAGGGTTGTGAAAATACACAACCCTTTTACACTGCCAAATTAACATATTTCCTTTCTCATCCCTCTTTCTCATTCTATTAAAGAATCAACCATATATTAAGTAGGTTTGTAAAAGTTATGTAAGGTCCTGACATGACATATGGTTGATTGTTATTGGGAGATATATTTTTACACAAAAAGTATAAAACGATCGTTAGAGCTAAAATTAAATAATTCATAATTTTTGTATAAATCCATCGGGACACATCAAATTTACACAAAAAATTATACACAATGGTTGGAGATGTTCTTTGGTGCTAAATGTTATACATTTTAGTTCCTTAATTATAATATCAGTCAAAATCAGTGATTTTGGGCTTTAAAAGATGATGTCCAAGAAGTTAGAAGACCACATCCATTAGGCCAAGTAATAATGAAAATATAAGTCTAATTAGACCTAGAAAAAAGACCAAGAGAAGCCCTAAGCTGATAAGAATGGAAATAAGAAGAAAATGAAGAATCATTTTTCAACTAGGAAACTTTCTCCAAAATTTGGAACTTAAACCCGTTTTAGTATTCTAGATGTATCTCTTTCCTCAAGTGTAAAAATAGTTAGATTTTTGCACCAGTTGAAAAGAAATTCGAAAATCTACAATTTTGTCTTTCAGGAGAAATTCATGAAAAGGATGTTTACTTTGTCAAAACTGAGTTGGAAGTCAGCACAAATTTTGTAGTCCAAGTTTGGCAGAATTTCTATATATCTCCTATTTAGAAAATGTAACTTTGAAGCTATTCTTCAATTATTTAAAGAGCGTTCTTTACACCATAAGGAGATGATTATACAGAGGAGCTAGAGGCCGACATTAGGAGGAGAAGAAAGAAGGGATCGACTTATGGAGGCGAAGATGTTCTTCCCAACCATAAAGAAGTCTATTCCAGTCATGAGTGGCTAAAAGCTTTGCTAGGGTTGTGATGTAGCCCCAACTTAGTACCACTGGTTTGATTTTATTTATTTATTGGAGAATAATATTTTTCATGCATGATTGTGTAACCTAGATAATTTTTATTTGACTTTTAAATATAAATCAGTTTTAAAGTTTTAATCCAATTGCAAAATATTTTCTATCTTGTCTTAGGTATTTAATGCTTATGATTGAACACAACTTATTTACTTCTTGTAGTTGTGAACGAGATGGTTATGCAATGGTTTTTCATTGAATATAATATTAGGGTTTTGATGGATTATGCGTAGAGAAGATAGACAATACTACACCCTATAACAGAGTAGTTAGGTAGATAGTTTATGTTAATCGAATATAGTCCATACTTAGCTTTAATTTTATATTATATTTAACTGAATTAATATGTGCTTGTAGTCATGATTAATTTTTTATGCGTGTTTCATATCATTCCAATAAATTAATGCAATTGGCTAGTAGTGCGACGTTAGTAGGGAAATCATGTCCCTAGTCTCTTATCTCATATATTTCTCATCTAATTTAATTATTGCTTTTAATTTAATTTTTTGTTTAGTCATTACATTAAATCATTATTCCATCATCATTCGTTTGTCCTATTTCAAATTAATTTAGAATTTAAGAAGTTTGTTAACAACTGAATTAATACAAGTCTCTCCTTACAAGAAACGCTATCTGCAAAGATAAACTAGACGAAAAACTAAAGGAAAAGAGAGGAGAGAGAAACGGCGAATAAAGAGAGAAAGGAAAACGACATATTTAAGGAAGGATCTGAGCCACGTAAGGTTCCGTCCTTGTTTCGATCAATTTAAGGTTAGGAGTGTTATTTGCTGAGTTCAACAAAACAAAAAGGAAAGTCCAATAATGTCTCCCTACAAAAATAAAAGGGGTAATTTATACAGATCTCTCATATGGTTTGTCATAATTACAGACAACATCCTTCTTGTTTCGAAAATTACGCGAACCTCCCATACTTTTGAAAATATTCTACACGGGACTTCCTTTATGTGTGACGGACCGTTAAATATTCTAACGGACCTGTCAAAATTACTGAAATACCCTCAACTTTCAATAATAAATGACT